AGAGAACTAGTAGATGTGAGCGCTTTACGTTGCGGGCACGTTGCAAACTCTTTCGCTGCGGGACAATGAGGATCTGGTGTAGGCACATTGCAGAAGTCGAGCTATAGAGAGCAATGGTTCCGTAGCTATACGTGACACGATTCGAGAGATAGCGCGCATGCTTATGACTAGGCGTGTAGCTAGCCGAGCGGCGTGTTGCGTGATTGTGGCGTATAGTTGGTCATGTGGCGCGTTGCGTGTCTTTGGCGCAGAGCTGGTCGTGTGGCGTGTTGCGTGGTTGTGGCGTACAGTTGGTCACGTGGAGGTGCCAAGTGTCTGGAGCTTGCTCGTCACGTACCGTTTGGAGGGCGGAGACGTGAACAAAATGGAACTATAACAGCCCTCAGCTTCGTTTCCGCACTTTTTCAAGCATACACAACAAAAAATCTGCCCATTTAGCGAATGGAAAGGCCTGCCTCGCAGATAATAGTACAGCGCGTCTTCGAAAGTAGGAAATCGTACCTTTAATCAAGGATACCTGCGGATACTCGTATGGTTGCGGAGACAGAAATGGCCTAGACTGCTCTGGAGTGGGATCTTCTCCATTTTCCACTCCAACTTTTTTCGGATCTTCTTTCTTTTCCGCAAACTCGATTTTTGTGGTCAGCTGTTGCAGAACTTCAGGATTAAGGTTGAAGCGTTTCACCAGTACTTGGAAGAGCTTTTCAATCCACGGTTCCACAACCAGTTCTAGCCTGAAGCATTTTGGAATCACTGAGAATGACTCCGCAAACATCAGATTTGAGCTGAGTTTGTACTTGAGAAGCTGGTAAATCGGAACAACACCGAAGAAGACTAGATACGCATCGATCGGTCTCTGTTCCCTCAGTTGAGTGGAATCAATCGATACGCTGGTCTTCTTTGCGGTTCTATGATTCCACAGCGTTGTAGATAAGCGCGGCCATAACGAAGACAACGTCATCACTGACCCCATTTGATCATCAGCATGTCCGGTCTCAATTATTGGCGTAGCGCCAAGAAATTTCAGCCGTAGATCGACTTTGTTGGGAACTCCTTGGAATGTTGAGTAATTCGAATCGCCAAGACCTGAAACTGAGCATCTAATGCGAGTAAATGTACATGGGGGAGTTCTATTATAGTAAGGTGGGGCAGAAGTGGCCAAAGCTCTTTACAAGCTCTCACTACCCTGGATCGCGATCGCTTTTTAGTCGTTCCAGAACCTCTCATTATAATGGAAAAAAGGTTTCGAATACATTTGGAGGCTCTGCCAAAATGACCCCGACCCTTAATGGAATTGTGCCTATTCTGCAAACTTTACCAAGTCATCGCGTAGCTCCCTGAAGCCCACTAATAAATACACAATATAAATTACACTGAACGAATGTGCCTACCACTACTTCGCCTAAAGACTGCTTCTATCTAACGTTTTACCTTGTCGTTACGACTTTTTAAGAGTACGGTACTGGAAGTCGTTTACTTGAAAGGAATATGCCCTCCTTGCGCAAGACAGTTCACCCTACACCCCACAATCGCATACTATGTACCACTTTCGCACCTCAAAAAGGTATTAAGGAGCCCACCCACTCATAGCGAAGGCAAAGCCCCGCCCACCGCCCGACGCCGAACCCAACACTCGTTCTGAAAGTGTCCTGGTAGCATGCTTAATTCGCTACTAATTCTGTCCATCACCTCCGATCGCAAGGTGTACTTTTCACTATTCTTTTAGAGAAATAAGAGTGACACTGAAGATCAGTAAAACAGACCTAGC